GCTTGAKCRAAAGTAGTTTGTAAGATACAAAGTTCCATGCACAATTGTATATAAATGTCTAATTAACATATCTTTGATGATTTGTTTTCACTCGAAATAAATAAATAAATAAATAAATAAATAAATAAAAAAGGAAAAGGAAAGAAAAGCAAAGTAAACAAATAAAAATAAGAAACAACAACAGTAACAAAAATTATGTGCAAAAAAGTTGTTTAACGTATAGAAACTTTAAAAAAAAACAAAAAACAAAATGGATGGATGTATAATCATTGTTCGTTAATTTAAAATTAAGAATTGAAAAGAAAGAAAGAAAGAAAGAAAAAAATAAGCGCAATGACAAAGGTTGTTTAATTTTATTATTATTATTATTATTTTTTAAATGAATTTTTTTTATATAATTGATTTCCCGCGTAAATGAAATATATATATATATATATATATTATTAATATTGTGTGTTTCTCAACAAACAAAACAAACACTTTGTATTATATATAATAGGATGTAAAGAGATTGAAATGCCATAAAAAGTGAACAACAACAAAAGATAAAAAAAAAATCCCATTGAAATTTTTTATTGGTAAAAAAAAAGAAGAAAAAATAAATTGAATTATTATAAAAAAAAAACAAAAACACACTCGGTTCTTTGGTGCATACAAAAATGATGTAACAATTTATGTTGAAAGAATGGTGTGTGTGCGTTGTCTTCTATTTTTTATTTTTATTTCTCGCTGTTTATTTATTTTTTTTTTTTTTTTCACAAACGTTTAATCATAATTATTCGGAACACACAATTTTATTTAAGAAAACAAACAAACAAACAAACTTCGTAAATAGGATTTGCATTTACGTTATAATCGTTTCTCGATCGTGTTGTCCTATGACACCAGAGAGACAGTGACATTTTGCGTATTACTAAGCTAATCATATTCAAAACTTATACATATAATATAATATAAAATATATACATAAAACTGTAAATAATTATTATAATAATATAATAGTTGATAATTAATAATTATAATTAAATAATATTATTAATAATAATAATAATAATAATAATAATTAATTAATTAATTAATAATACTTGTATTTCATTCATAAAATGATGTTAAGGCGTCTGTGTATAAATTTCTTGAAGAAGAAAACAAAACAAAACAAAAACAAACAAACATAAATAAGAAATAAAGAATTATTATAAGATTTAAATATGAGGAAGTAGCAGCGAAGATTTGAGGTAAAGCAAATAGAAAACAAAAAAAGAATTAGAATTATAAAAAAGAAAAAAAAACAAAAAATATTGTACTATAAAAATAGATATATATGACAAGACGTAGAAGTTGCAAACAAAATGAAGGGATTAATGATGATGATGATGATGATGATGATGATAATGATGATTATGATGATGATTATAATAATGTGATGGGTGGGATGAATTTTTGTAATTACTCATTTAGATTATTCAGCAAAAAAAACTATCAGTAAAATAAATCAAATGCTGGATCTGTATTATTATTATTAAAAGATAAAAAAAAAAACAAACAAAAAATCAGCTCATTAATAATAATTATAAATATTAACTATTATAATAATAATAATAATAATAATAATAATTAAATATTATTAAATAATGGACGTTTACTTGAGCCTCTATTATGTATTTTATACATAAATATAAATTTGAAAAAAAAGAAAAAAATCTATTCAAATACTACACAAGAAAGTTGATGATTATGATGATGATGATGATGATGATCATCGTTTTTTTTTTTTTTTTTTTTTTTTTTTTAATAATTTTATTATTTGTAATTAAATTTAGTTTTTGTGGTATATATAAAATGAATAAACTGACACAATTGTGTAAAAGAATTGAAAGGTTCCATGTGTAATAAAATAAATATGAGATAATTTATGAGAGGGGGGGGGGAAGAAGAAGAAGAAGAAGAAAATAAAGAAAGGTATATATATATATATATATATTAAAAAAAAATGAATGAATGAATGAATGAATGAATGAATGAATGAACGAAAAGGGAATATACAATAATATCTTCTTTGATATTCGTTCTGCCATTAATGTGTTAATAGCATAATTAATAATTAATTATTACTGAAGCCGAATAAAAATATGGATATAGTTGGGGATGGATTTAAAAAAAGAAAAAAAATGATTATCCTGATTAATCGTACTATAATTGTCAGCAGGTATATATATATACTATTGCCATAATTAAAATGGCGATATTATTATTACTATTAAAAAGAAAAGAAAAGAAAAGGAAAAACTACAACTTTAAATACAATAATTATATCTCGTATATTTTTCATGTGCTTTTGTGTTAATTTTTTAAAATTTCAAAAACAAACAAACAAAACAAAACAAAAATAATCTAAGTAAAATAATTATCTCTACTTTTTTTTTCCCCCCAAAAAAATATGCGAAAAATACTGTATATATATATATATATATAAAAAAAAAAATACAAAAATGTCGATGGAAACAAAACATAAAACAAAACAAAACAAAACAAAAATGACTCTGTGGAAAGAATAAATAAGAGAAATCATTTAAGTTATTTGTTTAGTGTTTGTTTTTTTTTCTTTTGAAAACGTTTTGTATTTTAAAAATCAATCATGGTCTATCTACATACTTCATTTTTTTTATTATTATTATTATTATTATTTGTTCTTTTTAAAAGCGTGTATAATAAGAAAAAAAAAAAAAAGAGAATTTAAACGATGCATTATTCTTAAAAATAGACAATAACAACCAACAACAACCAACTTTTAAAACCTCTAAATAATTGAACATAATAATTATGGCATTTTATTTAAATAATATCAGTTCAGTTTTACAATTATAAATTATATTTAAAAAGGTGGTAGTAGTCCCTCCTCCTCCTCCTCCTCCCTTCTTATAATTCTATGAACACTATGTGAATTGTTTTTTTTTTTTTTTTTATTCTTCAGTGAGTATTTCTTTTTTTTATTTTTTATTTTTTTTTTATTTTGTATTTAAGTGACGCTTGCATCCCGTGAAGAGAATATATATTTCATTATTTTATTGTTGAAACATTGTTTATTCATGTTAATCTTAGGATTTGTGTTTAAGAAACTATGGGTGAGATTGGACGGTATTTTTTCGTTTTTCTTTTGTTGTTGTTGTTTTTAATTATTATTTTTAACTGGAATGTTTTTTTTTTTTTTTTTTTTTAAGTTTTTAGATGTCTATTCTATAATTGTTTATTTTCTATTATTATTTAAAATTATCTGTGAATCTCTAAACCCTTTTCATTCGTACGATAGGAATTTGTTGTTTCATTTGATATTTTGTAGAATAATTATACATTCTATATTGCTGATTGGATTAATTAATTAATTAATTGTAATATTAGTTGCTTTATATTTTATATAAAGCAAAAGGCGTGTGTTTGTCTATTTGTTATTTATTATTAACTATTATTATTAACTATTATTATTATTATAATAGTTTGATGCAAGCAGAAATGTTAACTTTTTCTTAATTTAAATTTATTAATCTTTTTATTACTTTTAATTACTTTCCTCTGATTAACAACATTATCATCATTATCATCATCATCATCACGTAAATAATTATTTTGAATTTGTTTACTTCGTGAATGATCATCTACTTTGCAATTTGTCGACGAATGATGACTTATAGTTACACATTGAATAGAAATAGATTGATTGAAATTATTTTTCGTTGTAGAATTATCTTCTAATCTATCAAGGAAAGGAACTTTCTTATTAATCATTTGATCATCGATCTTTTCATCATCATTATTCATAATTTTAGATTTCTTTCTTTTAACGTGATCATCATCATCATCATTATTATTATTATTATTATTATTATTATTACTTCTTGTGCTATTATTTAAATTTAATTTAATAGACGATACTGATGTGGCAGCAACTATTTGATAATTGGACGATTGTGTAAATGTTGTTTGTAAATATAAATCATTAATAGTATCATTTTCCGATACTTTAGTCTTATTCGTCGTTGAATTGTACAAAATGGTGGCGGCAGTGTTACAATTTGGCTCATCGTTATAATTGTTGTCTTTTATTTTCGATGATTTATTAACTAACAATTTCATTTTTTCTTTTCTAACGAACGACTTTGGTTGTTTTTTATGTAAATAAGAAGAAGATACTCGTTTTAATTTGTCTGTCTTCTTATAAGATGCACTTTTTTTATGATTCATTTGGTCAAGTTCTACTTTTTCTTCTTCTTCTTCTTGTTTTTTTATTTGTTTACTTGGAAATTGTTGTTCTTTCGTTTCTTCTAATTTTGAACGTTGTTGTTGTTGTTGTTGTTGTTCTCGTGTAACATCTTGTTTTATCAATGACGAACTTGTTGTAATTGCACGTCGTCTTTTTATACATTTACACCAATTGTTTTCTACTATTTCTTCTTCATTATTATTATTATTATTATTTATGTTGACAAGTGTTGTTTCATTTTGCGATTCATTTGTAATTCTATAAATATTTTCATAAAATACTGGCAGATTAGTTTTTCTCGATGATAATGGAGCAACAGTAGTTTCTTCTGATAATACAGTTATATTTTGTATAATATTATTTATACTTTCAATTTGTTTTTCTAAACTCTTAGTATGTTCCTTTATCTCTGATAAAACTTGAGTAAATTTAGGCTTGGAAAATGCTATTACTATAGTATCATCTTGACTATTATTATTATTATTATTATTATTATTATTCATTATCGTATCTAGTGATATAAAACCATCAGCATCTCTTCTAGTTTTTTCTTTCCATACATTGTTTGACAAATTGTGAACAACATGTTCATGTGATTTCATTTTGTAAGATTCATTTATATCCGTTGAATATTGATCAATTGATTTTGTAATAGTGTCACTCAAATATTTGTCATTTTTATTCTTGTACACGCATTTACATTTTTTCGATTTGCACGATGGTATTATTCTTCGTTGTTGTTCAGTTTCCATTTTTCTTATGTCAGGTGACATTAGTTTTGTATCAGAATTCAATTTGTAATATTCTTGATATTCTTCAGGACGTATTGAATAATCATTTATAATCAAAGGAGGATAACATTTACAATTTTTATCCTGATATGAAACGGTAACATCATCATCATCATCATCATCATTACGTAATGCTTTAGTTACATTTCTAACATATAAATCTTGAATTGTATTATTCATTGAATCATTTCTTACAGTACAAGGAACAATATTCTCCGACATTTCTATAAATTGTTTGCTTGCAGCAGCACATCGACGACATTTTGCAAATTGCAAACAATTCAGATTATTATTTGTAAATTTGTCAATAGAATGTTTCAATAATTGAAATGAAGAAATAATCTTCTGATCTGATGATTCATCATCAATAACACTTCTTTCAACATTTGTCGTCGTATCATCATCCTGTGGGAGATTGTTCATACAACAAGAAATAGAATAACTCTTTTTCATCAATTTTTTTGTAGGTGTTGACGCAGCAATTGGTTCCTGCTTTATAAATAATTAAAAATCATGTAATATATAATATTACAGATATTCTAATAAAATTCTGAATTTGTATTTGATATATTTGTTACCATGAAAACGTCATCAGTGAAAATCATCTTCTCAGCTAAACCTACTTGAATCTTAACTGTTGATTCATTCCCATCATCTAAATAGCAATAATAATTACATTATCAATATGTACTTCTCATAAGCCAATTATTGGTTTCAAGAGGCCAAATTAAATATTATAACTATTTTCTGAGTAATTACAAATATACCCGATTTCGTGTATTCTTTACTCGATATTCCTGGTGATATTTCTGCTTCTAAATTGATTGCCTTAGATAATGATGATGATGATGATGGACTGCAACCACATTCCTTCACTTTTTCTTTACTCAAATATCTATCAACGAATATATATATATATATAGATTTATTATATATATTAAATTTTATTTCTTATATGACCACGTTTAAGTCTACGTTAAAACTATCTGGCGATGAATTGAATGATCTGTAAAGAGAGAGAAAGAAAATAAAAATAAAAATAAAAAGAAAACAAAATTAGATGATGATCCTCTATGAAACAAAAAATTAAACATCATACGAGATGATGATCAATTCATTCAATCAAATTTATATATTTTGTATGTTTATAATTATAATAATATAAATGAAGAAATAACCTGCGATGTTCTTCATCTTTCTTAGCACGATCAAATCTTTCATTAGTAACTTGTCTACGAAGTTCACTGATTTGTTTACTATACTCAGCAGCTTGAGTTTGATATTGTCTAAGTTCTAATGACTCGGCAGATCTAAAATTTTATAATTATACATTAAAAAGAATGAATTTATTAATTGATTTTTATCCAAGATCAAAAACAATTCTTACAATGTTGTTTGAAGTTCAGATATCTTTTGTTTAAGTCTCGACATTTCATTCTGCAATTCTTGATTTGTTGTTTGAACTTTGATAGATTCTTCTCTTGCTTGATCCAACAAAGCTTCTAAACGTTCAATCGTTGCACGATCTCTATCCATTTGATCTTGAATAGCACTCTGTTCGGTTCTCAATCTTACCAATTGTGTGTCATACTAAACAATCAAACAATGTTAAACATTATTCAAAAACAAACAAAAAATACATTTGTTAATGAAATATCTTCACCTGTGCCTTCATCATATCTTTATCTTCTAGTTGTTGCATAAGTGAATCCTTTTGTTGATCCATTTTAATACACAAATCCCTTACTGCACTCAAATCAGCCTCTGCTCTTTGCCTTTGATCCGTTTGTTGTCGTAACTGTGTTTCCATGCTTGCAACACTTTGCGTTAATTCACTTATCTAAATAAAAAAAAAAAAAAAAATAGATGAAAAATCTCAGTCTCATATCTTACAATAGTTTCATACAACTTTAACCACCTGTTGGTGATTATTTTTTTTGAACAAAATTCAGTTGTTGTGTTTTCTTTGTGTTAAGCTCAAAACTTTTCAACGCATTCTAGTGTTAGGTTTGAAACTTTTCAACAAGGTGAGTTTACACAAGAAAGTTTGTAAATTAAAAAATGTAAAAATAGATATACCTGTGTTTCATATCCTCTAATTAAACAATCCTTATCAACTAATTGTCTTTCTAAATCTATCAAACGATCTCTAGCAGTTTGAAGTGCTCCTCTTACTTCTGCAGCTTCCGATTCTAAACTGTGATTATTGTTTTCCAATACTGTGGCTTCCAAACTTAAACTTCTGAAGTGATTTAACATCTCCGTTCTTTCATTTTCCTATTTATTAGTGATAGAATGAAATTAGATGAAACAAACAAAAATGTTTGAACGTGTTGTTTACCTTTCTGTTCAACATTTCTTCAGCACGTCGTACTTCGCTAACGTAAGTTTGCAATTGTCTCTTCAAATCGTAGGATTCAGCACGGGAGGATTCCAATTCGTGTTGAAGATTTCTTACCTCGCATATGACAGCTGCAAGATCGTCCTGCAAACGACGATTCTCTTGAATTGCATTTTCACGATCATTGTTGCAAGTATCCAATTGTCTTTGACAATTTTTCACTTCAATTTGTAAAGATTTTAATTGACGTTCGTATTCTGCACTTTGATCAATGCATATTCTGTAAAAAAAAAAAAAAAAAAAAAATAATTAATAGACGTTTAGAATACACTAATTGACAAGTCAATACACACACACACATATATATATATATATATATTTATATACAGACATGACATTATTATTAAAAATTCTTGTCACGTTTTCGCGTACGATAATCACGTAATTTTTTTCGTTTCGTAACTAACCAACGTTCATGAAATAAGGACAAGGGCAATTCGGTAGATTGATTCTAATGAATGAAATACTTAATTGACTTTAATTAGGAGATATTGTCATAAATGATCATTTCTATAAAAAGATTATACGTTTGTAATAATAATATATACGTTATTTGGATTTATACACATATATATATAGTGCAGTATATATTATCTTACTTTAAATTATTAAATTACTAAAAAAAAATTACTAAAATAAATTACTAAAATAAATTACTAAAAAAACAATTATAATATTAAATTATAATTATTTAAATTATAAAAAAATATATATATATTTATAATATAAATTATTTATATTTATTTTATAAATTTAATTATATTATTTATAGTGCAATATATATTACTTTACTTTAAATTATTAAATTACTAAAAAACAAATAACTAAAAAAAATTACTAAAATAAATTACTAAAAAAACAATTATAATTTAAATTAATTATTATAATATATTACATATATTATAATATAAATATAATATATATATATATATATATATATATATATATATATATATATATATATACCTTACTTTAAATTATTAAATTACTAAAAAAAATTACTAAAAATAAATAACTAAAAAGCAAATTAATACTATATATGTATATACAATATTAAATATTTAACATATATATTATATAATATATCTAATTAATTTTTACAACAAAATTACTTTGCAAATTATTAATGAATTAATTCAATATAAAAAAAATATATATATTCCAAAATAAAAAAACTAAATAAAGCTTCGTTTGATCAAATTCTTATTGTATTATGCGAGTCCTCCTAAAAGATACTTGCGTAATCGTAACGATGATTGCAATAAGATATATAAAAATAAAAAAAATAAAATAAAAAGGTAAAAAAGAAGGCGAGAGATTTCATCAAGAACGTTAAAAGATACTTTCTCTCGTATCGTCGTAGTCTTTCTTACTTATTCTTGTTTTCTGTTACAAGCAAACAACCTACAGCTTCAACTTCAGCTTCCTTTACACTCACCTCGATACAGGTCCATTTTAAATCTAAAATTGTGAATTACGCATCTCGTAAGGGAACGAAAGTGAAAACTGAGAATAGTTGATCTTTCAAAACTAGTTGAAATATTTTGCACATTTACGGTCATTTTTAAATTCTAACCTGTTGATACAACTTCAAACACCACTTCTTCTTCTAACACAGAAAGAGAAACAAACAAACATATATATGTACATATATACATATTGAATACTTGTATTCAAAAAGAAAGTTAATAGAAGGTTCTCTTAAACCGTAAAATTAAACAAAAATAAATTAATAGATATGAATAAATAAATAGAAAGAAGAAGAAGAAAAACAAACAAAAATAAAAATAAGACATATCATATGGGGAAAGTATGGAACGTTATGAAAATATCACTTTCCTGATACCTATATATCCGGTAATTAATATAAATGTCTCCCTAACATGTTTTATCATAAGTTCAATGACCACCATAATAAAAAAAAAATCAATTAAAAAATTCCATTTTTCTTTTATATCATTACATAATTTAATCATAACAATTATTAATAAATATTAAACCACCACCGAAATCAAGTAAAAACTTGAAAGTATATCATTTTTTCATTTTACTTTTTAGATTGAACATTAACAAAGTTATAAAGAAATGAGACTGCATTTCTTAGGATTTAAAATGAACGACTATGTAAGTAAGTAAGTAAGAAAGAAAGAAAGAAAGAAAGAAAGAAAGAAAGAAAGAAAAATCTGTTTTAGAGGTTCTTTCCTCTTTCAAGTTCACGTTCAGAGTTTTCAAACGCGAGACGAGTGGATTGCATGATGAATTTAAATGAGTCTCTTTGAAAGATCTACCAAAGATTATTCCCCTTACCTCTCACCCTCCTCCTCTCCCCCTTTTTTTTAAATTTAACTTTTGTACAATACGCGTATGGTGTTTTAAAATAACAAAATTAAATTTGTTCAAGAATGTGAAACATTATAATATAATTCTTAAAATAACATTTGATATAATGATAAATGAATAATCCAAAGATAGAAGATAAATAATGATAATGATAATGATAATGATGATGATGATGATGGTAGAGCAAGGATAAAAGATAAAAGACAACATAAAGAATGAAAGTTATTAGAAGAGAAGAAGAAGAAGATTGTATCGTCCCGTTAGTTTCTGTCCTTGAGAGGAAACGTATAAAAATATACTTTCATTCTCGTTCGATACCAAAGACTATTTCTTTGAAACTGTAGTATAGTATATACAGTATTGAAGAAACCTATATCACATAAAACCAACACCCAATCAATTACTATCAATCTAACAAAACTGAATTTACAAAAATGTATGTATAAATAAACCTTTTTGTTGTTTTTTAGAAAATGATACAACAACAATTTAGATCATCTAACAAAGCAACAAATCAATTGAATGGTTGGTAACTGTTCACCAAAGAACGGAGGAGGAGAAGGAGGAGGAGGAGAGTGCATCAACCTGATACATCATCATCATCATCATCATGTTCCTTATTTTTTATTATTCTAGATAAGAATCAGGAATGCTTTTTTTTTGTGAAGATGATCCACGTGCAGTATGATCTTTCTATCTCTTTCTATCTCTCTCTGTCTCCTGATTTAATGTCAAAATCATCAAGGAAAGAAAAAAGGGTAACCCTTCAAAAATCTTTCATTTCTTCTTACATCAGCGTACCGTTATAAGCAAAGGGCATTGCACGGTTCCACGAAACGGTCCCCACTTGACGCGTGTTCTAGGGCTAAGAAGAAGCTGCATAAGAAAGAACCGTTTTAATCTTCTAACATAGGAACGACAAGGTGTTTGTTGCTGATGAAGTGGGAGGGAGGGAGGGAGGAAGAAAAGAAGAAAAGAACAAGTCAAAGAATTTCTCATGTAATTTCATCCTCTAAATCCCGTAACCGTTACAATCGTCTACGAATTCCTATCGAACGAGGTATTGCGTCAATATTAAGTAATAAAAAATAAATAAATAACGAAAGCATCATCCTAAAAGTTATGCTCTAAGAAGTCTCAAGGCTATTTATAATCGAAAACATTCAACCCAAGTTTGTTACCTTTTACGATTCGTAAGAAATGATTTCTTATAGGGAATACCTATGTTGTGTAATCATTCTTTATGGTATTCGTAATGTGTAATATTAGTTACGAGATATCAAAATGATGATTTCATAGTATTTCTTTTTTTTCTTTTTTTTCTTTCTGATCATATTATACCCTCCGCCATTTGTAATTTTGTTTCATCCCAGTTGCATTTGTAATTTTCATTATAATCAGATTTAATAATTATTGATAAATGTTTTTCATTAGATTATGCATTAATTTAAGTTGATAAAATTGTAATAAACTCATTAATTAATTAATTAATTCATTCATTCATTCATTCATTCATTCATTCATTCATTGTCACGTTAAGGATAATGTGAAAGTGCAATAGGGATTAACAATGAAGGTGTTTAGAGAATGCGGATTCTGATTCAGAATACATTCCATTCTAAAATGAGTGGTGGTTTTTCCAGTTTAGCAAATGCAAAACATTGCAAACGAGATGTATCACGAAGAGAATTTTGTATTTTATAAGAAAAAGAAGATAAATGATTGACCACCACCACCACCACCACCATTACCATCATCCTCTGACACAAACCAAATTGGATGTGATTTGATTTGATTTCTTGTTTCCAAAGTAACGAACGAGTTAGGTAACTGTGCAATGGCTAAAGAAGAAATACACGCAGAGCAAACGAATATCACGGAATCCCACGTTCAGTTTCAGTCTGAACTCGGTCTCCGTGCCGGCAAGAACCCCCTTAAAACTTTCTTTACTTTTTAAAATCATTGGCATCATTATATCCTCTCATCGTCATCTGAAATTTTTGGTTGTTGAAATGATCTGCTATATCATTTGAAGATTAATCAATTCATTTCATTATAAAGTTGAATTATTTAAATAATATCTTTTTTTTTTTCTTCTTTTGTAATTTGTGTTTTAAATGTGTGATGTGAAATAAATTTAATTAAAGATCAAAAAAAAAAAAACAAAGAAATATATAATTTGTTCATTTGATTCACGTGGGATCGATTATACTACGTAAGTTAATATAATATTTAATTTAGATTTAAAAAAAAAAAATAATTTGTTGGTTGTATGAATTATAAAATAGTTTTAATTACTTTCTAGTTTTTTTTTTTTTTGTTCTTTTCATTTAATTATCTACAACTATAGTTAGATTATAATCTTATCAAGAGTTTGTATTTGAAATGTGTGATGTGAAGAAAATTATTAGAAATAAATTTAATTAAAGATCCAAACAAAAAACAAAAATATATATATAATTTGTTCATTTGATTCACGTGGAATCGATTATACTACGTAAGTTAAAATAATATTTAATTTAGATTTAAAAAAAAAAAAAAAAAAAATGGTTTATTGGTTGTACAAATTATGAAATAGTTTTTTAATTACTTTCTAGTTTTTTTTCGTTTTCTTTTTGTTCTTTCTTTTCATTTAATTATCTACAACTATAATTAGATTATAATCTCATCAAGAGAGGGGAAAGAATACCTATGTTGTCTCTTTATATAATCATATGTGTGTATGTGTGTATTAAAAAAAATAAAAATTAAAAAACTAAAATGAATGAATGAATGAATGAATAAAGTCATGTCTAGTTTTGCAATAATAATATAAATAATAAAAACCGTTGTGTTTATATTTGTAATTAATAATTTCGTACCTATACTGAATGTATTCCGCACATGGTAAAAAACAATAAGGACACAGGATGCAACAAGGATCCATAATTGTAATTATTATTATTTTTTTTTTTTTTTTTCTTATCGATTAACACTACTTGAAATCTTCTTCTTCTTCATCATCATCATTGATCGTATATTTTAATTGAACATGTTGTTTTTTTTTCTTGTCTCTCTTTTTTTCTTTTGGGGATTTTCAATTCGCACACGATGTTACGCGCGCATACGATTTAATTTAAATATCATATTTTTTTGAATAGCCGACATTTAAAAAAAAAAAAAAAATACACTCCCGTTTCCATGGGAATGTGTATTATCTTCTATTATTATTATTATTATTATTATTTTTATGATGATGATGATGATGATGATGATAAATAATTGAAGTTTATATTTAATAGATAATATTTAATGAAATTATAAACAAAATAGTAGTTTTTTATCGTAACATCTTTTACGATTTAAAATACAACCACAAATGTGAAAGTTGTGATGTAAGGATTTGAAGCGGTTCAAACTTGAACGGTTAACAACCAATTAGATGATTGTGTAATAATGATGATTTATTAATAGTCTCCCCTTTCCCCCAAATATTTTACACTAACATTTTTACGATTCTTATCTTTCTCATAGAAACATTCATTGACAATTAAATTAATAAAAAAAAAAAAAAAAATTAAAACAAAGATATCATCAATTTTTTACTAAACAAACAAACAAATAAACAAAAAAGAACATGGATACAACAAAATGTATTTAAAATAAATAAATGACAAATAAAATGAAGAAGATTAAATATTGTATAGAAAAAAAAAAAAAATGGGGAAAGTACATTTTGATTAGGTATTTTGAAAAAAAGATTTCGTACGTGTTATATATATATATATATATATATATATGTCCATGACATAAAAAGCATTTCAAACGAAGAAACGAAATGTTATTCACATTCTGTAAGCATATTTCTTTATTTGTGCTTTGCTTACGAAGGACAATGCCATTGCCATAGTGAATTAGTGAAAGTAGAATCATTTTTTTTTTTTTTTTTTTTTTTTTAGGACGATGACAAATCTCTTGAAGAATATTATTTTATTATGCATCACAATAACAAATATCAAAGGAGTGATAATACCACCACCATGGGCAGATCCATTGAGCAATCCCTGTGCCTTACAACCACGTGGATGGCAATTATTATATTGGCCACCTGATGGGAAATGTTATAAAATCTTTCAAGTTAATATCAATAATCTGTTGTAAATCTTGATAAAAAAAAAAAAAAAAATGTTGAACTAAATTGATAAGAAAAATATGGGTTCATTAGATTGGAGCACCTTGTCCTGAGACAATGGAATTGGGTCCAGCTGCAGGTGGTTCTGGAACGATAGCAGAATGCAGATGTCCACCAGGGACAGCACAATCTCCAAGAGATGCACTTTGTTATCCGATATTTACAAGGTCGTCTTGTCCGAGAGGACAATACTTTGCACCGGTTCCAGAAACCCATGCTAAAACTAGGTCAGTGTAATCTGATGATTCTAATGAAGGATAACTTGTATTTCATTTTTTATGATTGATAATCCATATTGATTGTCTTTATTTTAAATCTGTTTAATAGTCTCAATTCAAAACGACGTTGGGGTATCTGTCGAGAACCAGAAACTTGTTCGAGAATTGGGGATGTTTATTGGCCAAGAGACAACAAGTGTTATCCTAAACTGACCAAAGGACCTTGTCCACGAGGTGAACTTTTAATTTTAGGAGAAGACGGATTAGCTAAGTGTTCCTGTTCGATGACAGGTGAACTGGGAAGATATTATTGGCCTGGTAGTGTTGGTGGGTGTCATGAACATTACACAAAAGGTCCATGTACTGAACCAGGAGAATTATTTCTACCTGGTGGTGTATGTGGTTGTCATCCTAAATTACCACACTATCACGAATCAACTGGAATGTGTTATCAATTAGGTAAATTGATTGATTATATGGACAATAATAATCTACTAATTGATTGTAATTATATTTGATTGTGTTGTTTAATTTTAGGAAGTATTGGACCATGTCCAAAAGGTCATCAGTTTGTTGTTGATGCAATGGATACTCATCATCAAGAGGATAATGTGATTCGTGCCAAATGTAAATGTAAAAGCAATCATGTACTCTATCAGGATGGATTATGTTACAGATTGTATACAAAAGGTCCTTGTGAAAATGGTTACATGATAACTAACACATCAACTTGTGTACCAATACCATGTAGAAGAAGAAGATTATATTTTCCTGAAGAAAATACTTGTTATAAGATTGGTACTAAAGGACCATGTCCAAACGGACAAGTTGTATCCTATGATTACACTGTACGACCTTCAATCGATGGTATAAGTTACAATGGATTGTGTGGTTGTACCAATGATTTCAAAAATACTGACAAGTGTTCGACAAACGATGATGATGATAATAATAATAATAATAATAGTTGCGAAAATATACCAGGAATGGTATTAATTAATAAAAAATGTTACAAATTGTACACTCAAGGACCATGTACGGCAGGAGAATGGTTGGTTGCACGAAGGATTCCGAAAAATGAGTTGTGGGTTAATGAGTCACAGTCTAAAGCCATTTGCGAATGCCGTCCGGGTTATAAAAGAATTACGGAAAATTTAGATGCGAGTGAAATTGAAAGTAGCAATGTGGTGTCATCAGGTGAATGTCAACCACCAACTGTAACGCTAGCTAGACTTTTAAATAGTAAACATCAAAATGATCAATCTTTAAATATTTGACATATTAATTATTACATGAAACAATCTCAGGCTCAAATTGTATAAAAAAAAAATGAACGAAGAAACGTCGTTTAACAATATTTAATAATGTAAATAGTAATCTGTGTGCAATGTCTATAAATAAGACTATTTAATATTTTTTAAGTTCTTGTATAGTTTTATTTATTAAATATCAATATGTACTTTTTTTTAATTATATTGTATATATATATATAATTTAATGTATTATATTATTACGGATTATGGCTTAATTCTTTAAACTGTGTGCCATAATTTGCAATGATTTGTATTAATATGAAAAATATTTCATGTACTCACTCATTTTTATGTCGTAAATCTCGCATTTGTTGTTCCATGCTACTAGCTTGTTGCTCCTTGTGTATCAATTCTCTTTCCAATGCGACAATTTTTTCAGTCTTCTCATCTAACACTATCTAATAAGAAAAAACAAAAACAATATAATTGTAATAGTATTTTTGAATGAATATTACAATAATATAATTAGATATAAATGATACTAACCAATAATTGATCTTTTTCTCGATCCAAATGCGCCATATTTGTATGAAGATTATTGATCTCTTGTTTCAATTCCTTCACTTGATTGTCAAGCTGTAAATGTTGTTGTTCCATATTTCTATTACGATCCATAGCTTTATTTAATTCCGTTTCAGATTGTGTTAATTGACCCTGTATATCTCCTAAAGCTTGATCCGTTTGATCCTGCAATGCCCTGAATAATAAATACTTTATTTTAATTTATTTTTTTCTTTTAAACAAAATGTAATATCATTTAAAAAAAAAAATACGTATGACTTGTCAATGTCATTTATTACAAACAAAGGAAATATATATCAATGTTATATACCTAAGTTGAAAAAATTGTGTACGTTGAACGGTTAATTCTTGTTTGGTTCTTCTCAATTCTTCTTGTAAGTCTTCCAATTGATCATCGTAATCATTTACAGTTCCTCTTTGTGTTCCCTAGATTAGAAAATAATTATTTATTAATATAATTTGTTTATTTTAAAAGTATACTTGTTGATATAATCAAATTAGAATACCTTGAGTCTTTCATATAACGCATCGCGTTCTTCTATCAAACGTTGAACATCTGCTCTTGCTGTATCCCTTTCACGACTTAAAGAATCTAACATTACCTGTAAAAAAAATATATTTCAAATATCATCAAATATTTCCAATGTGGAATAATATTTCTAATATTTAAGTTATTTTTCTACTTACTTTTGTATTTTCTGTACCAATGTCATGCGACAACGTGGAAGATGGATGCTGCATGCTGGTACCAACTGCACCAGATGCACAAGACAAGCAAGATCTTTTTGATTGACTTTTACAAACTTCCAATTGCGTTTCCAATTCTTTCTTTTCGTGATACAAATCATTTTTCTCCTTTTGCAATTCAAAGATTATTTTTTCCTTTTCATTTAATTGACATCTTAATTCGTACGATCTCGTCCACAATTCGACCTATATTTTTTTTTTTTTTTTTTTTTAAACAAATTAAAAGTTTATTTAAATATTTATTTAATGTTAATATAAATAAATAAATGAAAGAAAATTAATCTTACATTTTCTTTATTAGAACTTTCATCTTTCTGATGCTTCAAACAATTGCATTCATTTCTGAAGTAATCTCGTTCGTTTTCTAATTGTTTTATATTTTGTTGTAACTATATAAAATTTATATATATATATATATTTTTTTAATGATTAACAAATAAAATATAATAAATAAATGAAATAAATTATTTCTACATACATTATCTATTTGTAAATCTTTTTCAATAATTAATTTTCGTAAGTTTTCAGATGTCCTATCATTTTCTTGAGATGATGACGACGAATATTCCCCCCTATCATCTGCATCTATGAAAATAAAATAATTTCAATCGAAGCTTCTTTATAGTATAATTAAACAACAGGTGTAAACAAATATAAATTACCTGTTCTACTTGCCATACTTTTCTTTCCTCTATTTTGATCATTTTTTTCACCTTTTTCTCTTAACTGTTTCAAATCATTTTCATTAGCACCATCCACAACTTTACTTGAAGAACCTAATTGTTCTCTCAATGCTTTATTTGTATATTGCAATTGTATAATATCTTGTTTCTGAGATTCACTCTCTTTCGATAATCTTTCTATTTCATCGTTTAAACTTTTTTCTATAATAATAATAAGAATAATAATATTAACAATTTAAATTAAATATTGTTATACAAACTGTTATCATCAAAATCTTAAAGGACATACCTATTATTGTTAATTGATTAATTTTATTAGTAATTCTTTTCTTTTCTTCTAACGTAGATTCTAAAGTACGTTGAACATTTCGTTTTTCAAGTTTACTCGCTTCAAGATCTGCTGTTAATTCTTGAACTTCTCTACGTTTCATTGCTAATTCTGTTTCTAAAGTGTGAACTTGTTCCATTACATCTTCCAATTTTTCTTGAAGTCTATAAACTCTTCTGTTATTTTCTTTAACTGCAGAATTGCAATCAGCTTCAACAGCTAATGCAATGTGATCTATGTCCCTTAATTCTTTTTCTAATTCTTCATTTCGTTCAGCAAGTTTCATTGCTTGGGACATAACTTCGTGTTGTTTATTTACAGCTTCTGATAAATTTCATAAATGCAATAATCATTTCAAAGGTCTCTCTATAAAAAATTGTGTGTGTGTGTGTGTGTGTGTGTGTGTGCGACAATTATTTTGAATTTTCAAAATTACATTCTCACCTTTTAACTGTTGTTCTAATTCTTGTTTACTTTGTAAAATAGTCTTTAAATCAATATTTTCATCGACATCATTAGATGCAACGTGCATTTTATCAACTTGTTTACAAAGACAATCCTTAACAACAGCACTGTATGGTCGACCACCCTCTAATAATTTTTTCAGTCTCATTATCTCTTTTTCTTTTGTTGTTAACTGCAATTAATATTATATTTCAATTGATCGATTAAACGTAATATACAAAAAAAAAAAAAAAAATCATTTAGTTAACACAAACTTTGATATGTTTTACATACCTGATTTTGTAAAGTATATACATTATCAGTTTGTAATGAAAGTTCTCCTTTAAGTTTTGTAACCTCGTGACTTAGACAGCTCATTCTATGATCTGCCATGCTTAGTAAATCTAATATTTTTGGTTCAACTGAATGAGAACTGGGTAAGGAACTGTGAGTACTTCCTGTATTAGGTAATGGCTCAGCTTCTATAACTGGTCTTCTTAGTGGATAACAAGGACGTTTTTTACTACCTAGAAAAATGTATTTAATATAGATTTAAGAAAAAAAGCAAAAAACAAAATACTACATTAGAATAATATGTAATAAATTTCTTACCTATTCCTACATTGCTTATAATCGGTTTCAAACATTTCCCTTGGAGATCCAATATCTTTTTTGACTTTTTAGCTGATTCAATTTCAAGATCTTTAATCTTTTGTAAATTTCTGGAAGAAGCTAATTGCAAATCGTTACATTCGCATTCCAATTTGTACACCTGTTTCTTCAAATCCTTGATTTGTTTTTGATAAGTTTCTTCTGTTTCTATCAGATCCAAATGAAGTTGATTACATTCCTGAACTAATCTTGCATTGTCACATTTATATGGATCAATTATTAATTGCAATTGATTACATGCCTGTACAGAATTTAAGAAAGAAAGAAAATAATAATCAATTAATAATCTTTCAATTTTAATAATAATAATAATAATAATAATAATAATAATAATAATAGGATAATTTTGAGAATGTGAAATTGATTTTGACATTTGTAACTAACTTTGATTGAGATGAAATATTTCCTTATCTATCAATTGTTTGATAAACTTCAGTAAACTTCTTATAATTTGTCAAAAGTGATATGTTTTGTAAAAGAACAAATTTTAATTGACACATTTAATAATAATATTATACATTTATTGTACGTACTTCGATGTTATCTTGTGCAACAGTTTTAAAATGTTTTAAACTTTCTGTAGTTTGAATAAGATCAGCCAACAATCGTTCAATTAATGGAAGAGCATCCAAAGATAATGCTTGTTGATAACCAAGACTATCTAAACGTTTTCTAACTGTTCTATATCTAGCTGCTATATTATAATCTTCGTCGGAACTCATTTTAAAAAATAATTTACGAATGTAACTTATTATATTATTCATTGATTCTTATTTGTTTTCATATTATTAACAATATTATTATCATCTCTATTAAAAACAGAGATTGATTGATTGATTGATTGATTAATTGATTAATTATTCAAATTTTATTTTACATATATGATATTATTTTGAGGTTAGAAATAAATTGACATTTGTTATAAGTTTGGTTATTCTAACCATTATGAAATAGTAATTAATTAAATTACACAAAATACACTTTAAATAATTATATTCACATTAACACTATTATATTAATTTAATATGATATAAATAAAAACTTTTTAAAACAATAACTTTTCTTCCTGTGACACATTTTTATTATGACGCAATGCAACATTAGTGATAATCGATATATACATACACATATAACCAAGCACGTATGTATGTAAGTATGTATGTATGTATAATTTTATTATTATTTTTTAAACAAACTATTTTTTTTTTATAATATTTAAATAATATATGTTAAAATATATATCGCATATATCAATAAATTGCACACATTATTAATAATTATGAAACATTTGTATATAAACGACTATCATTAAACGTTGTGTTGAGTCAAAACAACATTTAAAAGTGCAGCCAACTTTAAAATATGTAACACTCAATTTTGTTCTCCCGTCAATGTAGCCAATCGAAAAAAAAGTAAAAAATAGTTATAAATATTAAAATGAATGCTAATAATTAAATATTTTAGATATAAATATAAAAAATAAAAAAAGATAGAAGGAACGAAGGAAATATTTTGAATTTTATTCTAAATTGGAAATATTTCGTGTTAACCTCTTTTTTTTTTTCAATTAAATATTTAAATATGTAAGATTTATATTTAACATTAATATCGTTTCTTTTTTTTTACAGAACTAATATTAAATATTTTCTAACTAATATTACTTTATACATTTGCATGTAATTATTATTATTATTATTTAAATATAAATATTTTGTTTTTTTTAAGATTTAACATGGAACAACATTTGTATTCTCTTGACCGTTTTTACAATAAATATGGAATACTTCAGTTTCAAAATTAGGATCCAACAGGACTTTCATACCCTGTATTCCATTTTCGGCATATTTTTCAAATACCTTTTTCGAAGCTTCCCATAAATTTTTATTATGTTTCAAATTGTCAACAAATGATTTAGCCATTGGAAATAACATGGCCAGATTACTAAGAAAAGAAACAAGTAGTTCTTTTTTTTCTTTTTGTTCTCTTTCTTCTTCTAAACATAAAAAAAAAAAAAAAAACAATTTCGTAGATTTATAAATAATACTTACGTAAAAACTGGAACAACAATATCTGTAATAAATTCAACTTGTAGATCCGGTATAAAAGCTTTATTTCTATCCATCATTTCTATCGGTGTTTTACCCATACTTCTTTCCAAATCACCTTGAGAAAAAAATTCTTCGTAAATTAATTCCTAATAAAAAAAAAAACAAAAAACAAAAAAAGAAAATATTTCAAATTGTAATATCAGCTTTCTCTTGTATCTCAGGATTTAAAAAAAAAAAAATTGTAATAATAATTACAGCAGTTTTTTTGGTAATCGTCCAATCCTTAGTTTGATCACTGAGATCACAACAGGTCATTAACATACCACAAAGAAGTTTTTGATTTTTCGTATCATCATTTTTATATCCATTTTTGATCATTTCGCTTTGTTTTTTGATATCGCGCAAGTGAGATGCTAAATCGGTTGCTAAAATGTTACTTTTTAGAAAACCCAATGCTTCTCTGTATTGTTGACTAGTAAAATGTTCAAATATGTTACAACCTTCTGTATTTAAGATGCACATTGTTTGTGCAAAATGATGTCTCTGTTAAATAATTATACTTATATATATATATATATAATCTATATTTATAATATAAATCAAATAATTCATAAGATTGATCTACCTCCATGACAGAACCTTCAGAACTATAAAGACTTGCTAAAACTGTATCGGACGTAGTTTGAAAAGCATTATTGGTTCCTCTGTGATCAATGTCGTGACACAGACACGATACTAAAAATACATAAGCTTGCAAGTACGTTAAATAATTGTCTTTGATAAGATTCAAATTTTTAATTAATAAATAAGCAAAGTGTGCTACGGAAAAAGCGTGCACCCAATTATGATATGGCGCATGTCTGTAAGCTTTTTTAACATATAATATAAACCTGCATAATAAGAAAAAAAAAAGATATTTACATTAATCTTTAACTCAATGAAATAATTCTATTTTCTATTAATTTTAAATTACCTGGCTAGTGTGTTCATTTTAATTTTAAAATATTGAATAAAATTTAAATCACTAAAAATTTTGATCATACAACAAGACATGTCTTCATAGGATATATCTCTAGGACTAAAATGAAATTCACCAAAGTCTGATATGTTATCTTTAACTTTCCAATTAAGCAATTCAAAAACAGCTTCGTCTTCGACCTACAATTTGATGTATTAGAATATGTTTAAAAACAAATAAATGATGTAAATTTAAGATTTACAGTTTTACCTTCATATGATACATCATCACTTCATTGCTCAATTTATTTCTAGCTTGTGCATCTTTCATTTTTTTATAAACAATACTATGCATAATCGTAATACCACAATAAATACTAACAGCAGTTGCAATTTCTTCGTCAAAATCGTCAAAATACAAGCCACCTATTTTATTACAAAGTTGAGCGACACCTGTAAACATTTATTATACATCGTTTAATTATTAAATTAATGATAATAATTGTATATATTAATATTTACCAACTATTCCATTTTCGTCACGGATTGGAAAGCAAAGTATATTTTTAGTCTTAAAACCAGTTGCTTCATCGATACCTTTATAAAATAATGGATGTTCATAAGCATCTTTGATATTTAATAATTGTCCAGTCATAGCAACGTGACCAGCGATTCCTTTACTCACAGATATTCGCATTTCTTTAACAAACTGTACAAACAAAATATTAGAATTATTTTATATATATATATATAAATTATGTAATCAAATATAAATAATAATAACAACTCTCTCACTTCTTTTATGGATATTCCATCGAACACATATGCAACTAACTCTTGTTGATCATTTTCCAAAAGAAATAAGGAACATCGTTCAGCTTTCGTAAGATTTCTAACTTCAGTCATAATTTCACGTAATAGATCAGTTAAATCTCCTATTGAATAATATAATTTTAAATTAATACATATATATTTATATAAAATAAAATGAAATGTATATTAAATAGAAAAAAATGTAATGTACCTAAACGAGTAATAAGTTTTCTAGAAATAGCAAGTATATTTTGACATTGATGTTTTAATCGAGTTTCTTCGTAACATCTTAACGAGCTTAGAACATATCCAAGGCAATATCTATACACAGTAGTAGAATTTACTATTGCTACTACTACTACAAAAATATGTATCCCTAATTTAATTAATTCTCATTTATAGAAAATAGATTTATTCTCTATTTTTCTATAAACATTAAAAAAAAAAAAAAAAAAAAAAAAGGAAGAAAATTCTATTTTACCTAAAACATTCCACAACTATTTTTGTACATGTCTCTATAGATGTAGTTTTATTTTCACAACCAATTATGCACACGACCAATGCCGTTAATTGTTTTGGATCATGACGACGATGATGATGATGATGATGATCATGATGATCATGATGTTGTACAGGAATTAACAAAAATGGTTCATCTATATAATGTTTATCTAATAAATAAATGTGTTGTAATAATTCTTTAGTTAATTCGGAAGAACTAGCCATTATTGTTTTCGGCGAATCAATTATTTTATTTAAGATATTTGATATCTGAAAATGAATTATTAATTGAATATACGTGTTGGGGGGGGGAGGTATTTAAAAACAATATTAATTATTTAATCTAATTGTTTAATTAATTAACAAATAAGAATATATTTTACTTACAGGTAATCTTAATTCTTGATCCAAAATTTTGTTACCTATTACATGTATAACTGTTTCTTTTCTTTCATATAAAATAGAAGCAAGGAAACATAATTTTGTACCAGTCTTAGTTTGTATCTGAAAAAGAAAAAAAAAATATTATGAAAAATTATATTAATTAGTATTCTTAAATAATTAATTAATTAAAAATAAATTAATTTGTATTATCAATTATACGTACGTATGTATTTAATTTTAATTGTATTTCTGCATAAGATAAATCACTTAATTCTTCTATTAATGACAGAATTGTATTAGGATCAGTTGATTTCAAATTAAATGAGTCCATATTTCTTTTTAATTTCTATAACAGCACAGTTGTGTCTTGTAAAAAGAAATTAAATTAAATCATTTTGTTAATCATGATCATTTTCAAATTTAAATTTATATAATTATGTCAATTAGCAACTAAATCATGATTAAAATATTATTATGAATATTTGTAATTACCTTATTTAAATTATTAACAAATAAATATGAGTATGTTGAGATATCACAAATTTAAATAAATATTAAAATTTAATTATAATTATTAACATATATATATATATATATATATGTCTGTATATATATATATATAACAATTTATATAGAAACTATCTTTTACTTGGTTATAAAATATAAGTAATACTAATACATCATTCTTTGTTGAAAAATAAAAATTGTAACTTTATGATATGATAAACAAAGATTAAATCTAATCGAAGTTTAAATCTTGTTTTTTTCTTTCGCGCCCCTTTAATATTATATCCCGTTTATACATCCTGTTTAATTATAATATATATTTATCGTCACACTTATATATTAACTCGATTTTATTTTTTAATCCAAAATTGTGATTGGTTAATAGATATCTATATGTATCTACATATCTATATATCTTAGAAATGTAATTGCATTATTAAACTTATTAGATTTGTTGAATAAAAATTCCTTCTGCATTGTTATTATTATTATTATTATTATTAGTATTATCAAGATTTTTTATGATTTTTTATAAATACGAATAAACACGTGACATTCATTTACTATGAATACATATATATATATAGTAGATACTATTGCATGAGTAATTTTGTAAGATAAAAAAGATTAAAAAATGCAACAAATTTTCCATTTATCTTTAAAGCGAATACGCATATTTAGTATCAACCAATCACAATCAAGAATAAACTTCCATAAATGCACTTTGAGGAATTTACAAATGATCTTGATTGGTTTAACTTTTTACAAATCAGGTGGCGCCAATAGTTAAAAATTCAAATAAATATACAGGATCGACCAATCACAATGAAGAATACACTTTTATAAATGCACTTTTGAGGAATTTACAAATGATCTCGATTGGTTTGACTTGTTACGAATCAGGTGGCGCCAGTAGTTAAAAATTCAAATTAAACGGAAAAGACGTTAAGTAGAAACGTGTGAGAAATAAAAGCCGACTTAATATAGCCCGGTTGTACGCGAAATGGGCGTCCTCGGTGACAGTTTATTTAGTTTCATTTTTATGAATATTTATTAAAAATTTATTATTTTACGTGATAGTTGTATATTAACGAAGTGTAACTGAAATACATCATCATTCATTTAACTTGTAATCTAATTAAACTGTTTAGAACATTAAGGTATGAATTTAATGTTTAAGGTCATTTTCGCGCGCTATTTAAGCATACCTATAGTTTAACCATATTATAAACTTATCATTTATTATTCTAACATAATTAAATAGTTAATGATAAATTCATATTGTATAATATTTGTAAAAATTTTCTACATTGATTTATGTTCATTATTTCACGTTTGATTTAATTGAATGCATGTCACATTGTAACTCTGATATATTTATATAAACAATGTTAATATTGATTTGTTGTTAGGTTTTAAAAATGAATAATTATTCTAAAGATCGGATCAAATCGATTATTGCTAAAGATGCTGAAGATCTTTTTAATTGTTGCGAAGAAGTTAAAAAATCTATAAGAGATAATGCGGATGAACTTTTAAGTTATCTTCGTGCTATGGTAGCACAAATATCACAATCACCGTCTGTGCCTCTTATAACAAAAACTTCAAAATTAGTTAATAAAAAGGGTTTACAACGTATTGAAACAATACCTGAAGATAATATATTAAATACTGAGGATACAGTATCTTCCATTGATAATGATGATAAAGTGAAAAATGAAATGAATTTAGAAGAAACTATTGGTGTTAGAAGTACAAGGCGTAATGCTTCTAAAGCTGCTGCAGATAATATAAGAAAACAACAATCTATGCTGTTGAATACTAAATTACGAAGACCTGTTGAAAACTCTCAATCCAACAACGATACTTATAAGGTTTCTATTAATTTATAGATCAAATATCATTTAACCAGACATTCATTAATGAAATATAATTGATTTTATTTTTGTAGGTACATTCCGATAAAAAAATCAAAAGGACCAAATCTTCACGAAGTTCTGATGAAGATGAAGATAAAAGACCAGCGAAACACAGTAGAATTGAGGAAGACAAAAATAGTAACAATTATCAAGAAAATATCAATGACGATAACAAAATGCAAATTAGCGCTGAAGAGGACAATGTTAAATTTAATGATTGTACTTATAGTTTAGAAAATCGTAGAACTAGTGAAAGAAAAATTTCGAAAGATAATCAAAAAGGTAATAATAAGAAAGATAATGTAGTCAATGAAACACCACCTGCTCGTATCACGGATGATATTGATGAACCATCAATGTATGAAGATGCATTACCAAAACATCCTCCAATTATGAATTCAACGATGAAAGTTAGTTCTAATTTATTAGATAAAATAATGAACGCAACAGTAGTTATAGAACCTTTATCAAGGCATTTAGCATTAAACGAGACAGTAACGATAAAGAAAAATTCAGCTAATTTGATTAGCAATGAAAATGACAATAAACAATTAAAAACTAACGAACAAAATGATAAGAATAATAAATTAAATAATAATAATAATAATAATAATAATACTGCATCTGATGATAATAATACGATTATTAAACCTAAGAAAGAGCAAAAGAATAAAATAGAACAATTGAAAGAAGCTATGGCAAATAAAGAATTCGACGAATTAATAACCGATGACGAATCATCACCGGAATTAAAGAAAATACGAGGAAAGGTTAAAACTATGAAAGTAAATAATATTAAGAAACAAAATCAAATGATGATGAAATCACCATCAACGAGTGACGAAGAAGTTCTTAATACACCAGTAAAATTTATTACAAAAGAAAATGCTACTATAAAGGATATTAAAAGTGCATACAAATCTAATGCCTTGTTCAGTCCTTATGCCAAGGAATCTGTTAAAAAACGAGTTGAAGCATTTGAACAAGTTTGCATGAGTAGTCCGAAATTAAATGACGTTGATGCACCTGGGAGAATAACCAGAACTAAAACACGTGCAATGGCTGCTGCTGAAGTTGATAAAAATGTTGCACAAAAATTAGCTCGTAAGTCGCTTGCCAAAGCGAAAAAAATTTCTTTGGCCAGACAAGTTAAGGAAGAAGAAGACATTAAAGAAGTGAGTGAATTGTTTGATTGTTTTTCTTTTTTTCTTTTTTTTTTTGTTTTCATTTTATCTTATCATTAATAACAATCTCATTTTATTTTTTTTTTTCAGAATAAATATAACATAGAAAACAAAATCAAATTGTTATCGCAGAATGAAAAAACTATTTCCAAAATAAAACAGAAAGCAACTCCACTTTGTAAACCTAAAATACAATTACCAATGTCTGTTAATCGTATTGCACATACACCAGTGAACAATTTAATACTTCCAAGCGTAAATTTCAATATACAAATAATTTTCTATTTATTATTACATCCTTTCAATGTAAAAGATACATTTTTTCTTTTTTTTTAAATAAATTTATATTTTATTTTCAGTCTACGAAAGCTTTAACCGCCTCGCGTACAAATATTTTAACATCAATGGAATCATTTATTCCAATATTAAAATCAACTAGCAAACAAAATTCTATAGATAAAATAGAAGAAAAGAAACGTAAACAAGGTAATGAAGAAAATGCAAGGAGAAAAAGAGACGAAGCTTTGAGATTGCAGACAGAAGAGAAAAGAAGGTAATAATACTATTGTAATATTTACAAAAATGATTGTTATTAATTTAATTTAATGTAAAAAAAAAAAAAATCATTTGTCCCCTTGTAGAAAGAGAGAAGAAAAAGAATTGAAGAATAGATTGGCACGTGAAGCCAAAGAGAAACAAGAAATGGAGAAACGTTTGAGGGCGGAACGAGAAAAAGAAGAGAAAGCAAAATTGGCACAACAATTGCAAGAAAAACAACGGGAAGAAATGGAAAAGAAACGGCTCGCACAATTACAAAGAGCTCAGGTAAAATACAATCTATAAAAAACAAAAGAAAAACCCTATGTATGATTGTTGTAACTTTTATTTTTTTTATAGGAAAAAGAAGAGAAGAGAAAATTAGAAGAACAATTGAGATTACAACGATTAATTGAACAAGAAGAAGCTGAACGTTTACTTGTTGAACAAAGACGTAGAGAACAGGAAGCTGAAAAACGTAGAGAACAGGAAGCAAGAGCTCAACAACAAATTGCTTTAGAAACAATGAGATTGAAAGCACAAATGATACAATCGCAAGCTAAAGTTAGTTGTTCTTGTATTTTTTTGTTGTTGTTGTTGTTTTTTTATATTATATATTATTTATGATATGATTAATATAATATATTGTTTTTGTTTTTTTTTTTTAGAATAAACAAGTAGCTGTTAATAAAAATCCGGAACCAGTAAATTATGTTCTTGATAGTGAACCTGATGATGATGAATCAGATGATGAAAGTAGACCAAAACATGTTATTCCTCATTGGGCACAACGTAAGTATTTTTTTTTTTTTTTTAATCATTATTATTTAACAAATATATACTTTGTATTTTAAATCATAATAATAATATTAATTTTGTATATTTATATTTGTTTTAGCAAATGTTAGAAAAGCACAATTAGCGATGCAAAGATATATACCGGATATAGCAATTTATAAATTCTTCGATACTCGAAAGTGTACACCAGATTTAACAGAATTATTTATTGGCATTGATAGAAACAAATTGAAACGTACATCCAGTGCAATTTGGAAAACACCACCGCGTTATTCCATGATGGAAACTGAATAATTTAATTTATATATATATATACTTTTTCAATTAAAAATTGGATATTTAATCATAAAAGCACTATTAATATTATTATTATTATTATTATTATTATTATTATTATTATTATTATTATTAAGCATAACCTGTTTAATATAATATTTCAACTGTTCAAGAATTTTTGTACGCTATTGAGTAACATATCAAAAATCCAATGAACTTATTATGAATTATCTGATATGCACATACAATGTGTGGTGTTGTGCTTTCTATTTTTCATCGACGTACGTATGTTATAATTTTGTATTAAATACTTCATAAAAAAAAAAAAAAAAATAATAATATACTCAGTTATACTATGAGTGTTTCTACTTTTATAATGTTTCTTTGTATGACAATTTGGTTTTAATTTTATTCATTACTATATCTTTCTTCTTCTTCTTCTTCTTTTTTTTTTATTTATTCGTAATATTATTTGGCATGAATAAAATTAATAACAATGATTATATATATATATGTATATATATATATATATATATATAGACGTCGTTTCAATGCAATTCCTTTTTGTCATGTACAATTAAAGATAATTTAGATTCAACGTGATTTAAATCATGTGTCGTTAGATGCGTATACACCGGTATCTATCAATGTTATAAAAAAAAAGGATCAAAGTTATATATATATGTATAATATCTTAGAAAATGTTCTAAATTATAAACTTACATGCGTCAAAGAATTATCCAATATGATTGGTTCAATGTAATGTCTCGTTTTGTCGTATACTTTGAAATAATTACCAAGAAATGGACTTTGCAATTGTACTCCATACAACATTAATCTACCTTCTTCAGGTATTTCTTTGAAATAATCACTTTCGTCAATATCTTTAGCTTCAACTGAGCCTAAGCCTCCTTGAAGAACCTTGTTTATAAATTATTATTATTATTATTATTATTATTAATTATTATATGTATATGAGATATATTAATGTATCGTGTTATATTTGTTTATTACTTTCATGGTAGTAAAACTAGCTGATCTTTTGATATCCATGGGATATCTAAAGTGTTGAAAATATTGATATGCAGGTATATTAGGTAAAATTGGCATCCATTCTTTAAAAGTTCCCAAAGTTGATATGTAACGTCCTCCTAAAGTCCATAAACGTACCGTATGATCTAAACTTCCACTTAAAAATAATAATACAATCATAAATAATATTATATCATGATTCATAATGATATATAAATAAATAAATCAATAAATAAATACCTAATAATAATACGTGCGTTAGGAATTAATTGAAGACATGTAATTGGTTTTGTATGACCACGATGAGACGATAATAAAAGTGGTAACGGTTGATCTTTTACAGCACGTTTAGCACGACCATTTATTTGATCTCTCCAAAGAAATGGAAATTCTAATCTCAATAATGGCATACATAACTTAGGAGGATTAGGTATCATGTAATTTGCAATATACCAAACTTTTATATAACCGAGACAATGACCTACAAGTGCAGTTTTTTGTTTTTTTTTTGTTTACATACTGAATAAATATGATTTTTAATATATATATATCATTTTGATATTTTACCTGTTATCAAGTAATGATTTTCAGGATCGGTAGCTAATGAAATAGCTGAGTCTCTTCTTGCATGAATAACTGAAAAACCTCCTAAAAATCCTCCAGATGGATGATGACTCCATACTTGAATGATTCCAGATTCAAGTGAGACTAGTAATGTACCGATATTTGAATGTATTGGTCTTGAATTTAAATATATAATAGCAGTGACAGTCACTGATCTTGTTATATTTATCGCTGATTCTTGATGTGAAGAAATATTCATTTTATTCCTATACAAATCAAAATAGAAACAGAATTTTATATATATATATACTAGGGGTGTAACATAATATTGCGATTATAAATTGAGATATAAACTATCCTATCTTTCAAGTTGAATGAAACTGCACACAGTGTGCAAAATTTGATTAAAATCGGTTCAGTAATTTGGGAGTCCATTGCGAACAAACAACGTGACGTGACGTAATTTATATATATATATATATATATTAAGATATATTTATGTTTAAAATAATTATTTTTGAATCTAATTACCCAGATTGATTTGTATTTAAATATCCTTCATTTAAACTTTCTTTCTCCAATTGGATTTCTTTTATCGATGAAGACTGTTTAGTATCTTCTTTAAGATAACTTTTATATTTAATATCAAACCTATGTAAATTGAAATTATTCAATTACAATTGAACATAAAATATTCTTATAATTAATATATACTTTTAATTAAAATCCTTACCTTCCAGTTGCATTACTCACTTGATATCTTCTGTACGGTTGACCTGTTTCAAGTTGCCAAAATATGATTTCACCATTGTATGAAGCTGTAGTTAAAACTTGTGGATATCTTACAGCCGAGAATAATATGTCATCCGTGTGTATCAATTCCCAACTTTTTTTATAGGTATCAAGTTCAGAAATTGTAAATTCTGTAACACGTCGATTCCATCCGGTACATAAAACACGATTCTCAACCCAACTTAAACTTGTTATCTCACTGTAACAAATAATTACATATTCATAACTGTATAAACAAAACAAAATGAAATTAACATAATTAAATTTAATTATACCATTGATCTTCTATTGCCATATTTCGTAAACACGTTCCAGTATTAAAATTCCAAATTTTCAATGAACCATTTCTAGCACCAGTTATCAACAATTGTTCAGAATCATCAAAGGTAGCAGCAGTAATTTCAATGTTAACATATTGTCCATATAATAAAATACTATGAGCATTGGTAACTAAATACAAACGACGACCTAGCCAAGGATCCCATACAATAATACACGAATCTAATCCTGTAGAAACAATCTAAATTTAATGATAGTAATATATAATTCATACAAAATATAACAATATTTGTATTAAAAGAAATATTTACATACTACTTTATATAAATGATTATAAAGTACAGAGCTAATTGGTTTTGTATGAGTAATACCATCTGATGTTTCTTTATTGATCACTTGTCCACAAACAACTATGGCAATTACCATACCAGCTATTATCATTTTATGTGTTAAATCATTATAAATTACAGATACTTTAATATGTTCATTTAATTTAAATTGTAAACCATTGTACGTCTAAGAAAAAAAAAACAATAAGAAATATACAATGTTTGTTAATATTAAGTTTCATAGATAAACAAAAATTAATATGTTACCTGTATACAGGTATGAGAAGGTACATCCCAAACTTTGATACATCTATCTTTTGATAAAGAAAATATACGCTGACCTACATTTTCTATAATTATAGCACAAATAGTTGCTTTATGTCCTTGAAAAGTATTGCTCGCTTTTTTTGGTACAAAAGGATTCCAAACACGAACGATACAATCGGGTCCACCAGTTACAAGTATTTGACTTTCTGTGTAAATAAAATTGATAATAATGAATAAATATTAATGAATAAAATAATGAAATTACCTTCGCAAAAATTAAAACAAGATATTCCACGTTCTATGGTAAATTTATAATGAATTCTTATTCTCGTTGGATCGCTAAATAATAATGAACATTCTGAACATCTGCTGCTAGACATGAAAGCACGAAGACTTCCATAATAAGCTACTTGATTTACCCAATTTGTATGTACAAGTTTTATTACAGTAACTTTAAGACCAGGTAACTCATCCTGTAATGAAATACTGTTCAAACAAATATGAAAGATATTGTTAATAAGACATTAATGAATATTATTATTTGTTTACTCTGATAACTGCTTCATAACGAATGAACAATGTATTATATTCAGGCTGTTGTTTGAAAGGTCCTTTTTCTATAGATGAAAAAGTCATAATTATAATGGATCCACTTTTATCTCCCAAAATAATATAAGAATTTTCATTTATTTTAGAACTGAAGTAATATGACATACACGAGACAACATGATCCAAACTTGATATCTATACAATATATATTTTATATAAATTAATATAAATGTTAAGTAAGAAATACATATATATATATATATATATATATATATATTAATACAGACCATAACACGTAATTCAAATTTCTTTGCAACAACATCGTAAAATCTTAAATCACGTTCTGTAGAACTGACACAAATTATTTGTACATCTGGCATTAATATCATGTCGGTTATTGCTGTTTGTTGTATCTTCAAAAATGCTGTAAACAATATAATTATATAATGTGTGTATATGTAATTGTAATATAATTTAATACAATTAATATAATATAATTAAAATATTATGTTAGTTATTGCAATTTGTTGTATTTGCAAAAACAATATATGCTAGTCAAAATATACAGTGTTATAAATAACATATTATAATATGTGTGCATGTACTAATAAAAAATAATTTAATATAATTACTATAATATCATTAATATGAAGTTATATTAATATAATTAATATTGTCAGTTATTGCAGTTTGTTGTATCTTCAAAAACAATATATATGCTAGTCAAAGTATAAACTATTATAAATAACATATTATAATATGTGTGGCATATATATTAATAAAATAATTGAATATAATGAATATAAAAATTACTAACGATTAGTAGATTGTACACTGCGTTCATATTTAAAATCTAATGACCAATAATTAATGACTCCATCTCTGCTAATAGTCAGATAACACCCTCTTTGAAAACTTCTACTTCGATCCTATCATATACATAATATTCTTTCATCAATAAATATTTCATTTCATTTACATTATTTTTGTTTTTTAATAAATGACATGCACTCACTGGAAGTAATTCAGGATAAAAAGCAATTCTACAAATTGGCGTACGATGATGTGCTCTTAATATTACAGGTGTACCTGTAACTGGAAGCTGTAACATTTGATGTTGTATCGATACATCTATCAATTGAAATTCCATTAATAAATATGAAATCAATTCATTCCACGTTACGTATCCATCATTTTTAATATTTATCTACAAATTAATATTATATCAATTATTTTCAATAATTTGTATATATATATATATAGAAATAATTTAGTTACCTTTCTAAATAAGATATTAAAAGCTTCAGAAGATAATTTTATATTTAAGATAGATACAAAAGCATTGTTTAACTGTGACTTATCCATTTCTTCATTTTTCGTTATCTACAAATATTGATGTTAATATAAAAATGATTTTTTTGTTTTTGTTTTTAATAAATATCATGTATATTTAAATTACTTACTAAAAATTGTTTGTATAAACGTGTCAATGATTCTTTCGTACATTGTTCTGCAATACTTTTTCTATTAAAAAACTTCTCAAATTCATTTTTTATCCTACAACAATAAAAATAATCTCAAAATACTACAAATATAAATCATAACAAAAAAAAAAAAAAATCGTTGAAAGTTTTATAATTAATATAAATTTATATTAACTTGACGTCATCATAATTAATATATGCCATTATTGTTGTATAATAAATTGTTTATAAAAAAAACACACACACACACACACATTTATACTTTAACAATTCTTACAAATAATTTATTATTATTTAAAAATCATCTATAAAACTTTGTATAATAGAATTTTAAATAGAAAGAAAAAAAAATCAATCATACAAAATAATAAAAAAATAAAAATCATTGAAGTTTGTAATGATATGTAACTAAATTCGGATTACATGAATATTTATAATAATAATAATAATAATAATAATAATAATAATAATAAAAAGAAGATAATAATTTTCAATCGAATTGTAAGAAATGTTAAAGTGGGTCGTAAAGAAACTAATCAATAAAAAGTATACACCTGCTGCAGGTATATACAATACTATAGTAGAACCTGTTAGTATAACAGGTATACCAAAACATATATTACATGTATAAATAAAATATTATTGAAATAATTTCATTTTGTTTGTTTTGTTTTGCTTTTTTTTATTTGTCAAATTTCTATTCAATACCATGGATTTATTTATCGCTTTGAGTTTGTTCAGTCGACAAAAATATGAAACTTGTGCAACTATGTGTACAGAATTATTAAAAAAAAATCCATTAGATCAGGTATGAATATATTTAACATCATCATTTGATATTATTTCATTAAATATTATTATGAATTTGTTCTAATCTTATTATCATTTTGAAACATGTTCATTTTAACTTTTAGGCAGTATGGGTTTTAAAAATGCGTGCTTTAACATTACAAGTATACGTCGACGATATAGAAAGTGAAGAAGAAGGTATTGCAGAAGGTTTGTTAGATAATTATACAGTAACTTCAATGCCAAGACCAGGAACGTCTTTAAAAAATCCTGGAACTTCTCAAAACGAACATGGAATCCGTCCTAAAACTCAATCAGGTATAATATCCTAGAAACAATTCATTTGAAATATTTACAGTAATCAATATATTCCATTTTTTTTTTAAAAAGGTAGACCAGTTACTGGAGTTGTTAGACCTGCAACACAATCAGCAGTATCGCAAACAATGGAACAAGCATTGAGAATACCAAGAACAGCTGCTACAGCAAGACCTATTACTTCTATTTCAGGAAGAAGTGTTAGGTTTGTTAATTTTTTTTTTTACTAATTAACGTTTACTTTAATAAGTAATATATCTTGTGTGTGTGGGTGTGTAGACTTGGTACTGCATCTATGTTAACTGAACCTGATGGGCCTTTTATACAATTGTCGCGTTTAAATATAACAAAGTATGCAAATCAATCTTGCGTTGCTAAACCTTTATTCGAATACATTTATTATCACGAACATGATGCCAGATATGTAAGTATTGATATGTATATATGAATGTATTTAATTTATATAAATTAAAATACAGTTTTTTTTTTTCAGGCTCTTGATTTAGCAGTACAAGCAACGCAAGCTTGTCAATACAAAGATTGGTGGTGGAAGGTACAATTAGGAAAGTGTTATTATACATTAGGTTTAGTGAGAGATGCAGAACAACAATTTAGATCAGCATTACGTGATTGTAAAAGTATTGAAACGTTTGTAAGATTGATTAGAGTATATATTAGATTAGATCAACCATTGGCTGCTTTGGATACATGTAAAGGTGGTCTTGAATATTTTCCAAATGATGTATGTTATTTATATTACAAATTATATTCTAAAAAATGTATAAAAGAATATTTTATTGTTTGACAATTTTATATTTCAGGTTACTATACTCGTTGAGATGGGACGGATTTTTGAAGGCTTAAATAATATGTCGATGTCTATGAAATATTATAAAATGATTGCTCAAGAAGATGCTTCTCATACGGAAGCTATTGCAAGTATTGGAATGCATCATTTTTATAATGATCAACCAGAATTGGCTTTACGTTTTTACAGGTAATTTGAAATATCATTTATTTGTTGTATTTTATATTTTTGTTGTTTTTTTTTTGTTTTTTTTTTAAAGATGAATTATTATATTATTATAGACGATTATTACAAATGGGTGTTTATAATGCTGAATTATTTAATAATCTTGGATTGTGTTGTTTTTATGCACAACAATACGATCATACAATTTCGTGTTTTGAAAGAGCATTGAATCTTGCCAATGATGAAAACAAAGCTGACGTTTGGTACAATATTTCTCATATCGCAATCGTAAGAAAAAAACACAATAAGATTTAAATTGTACAATTGGTTTTGTATAAAATTTGATTGTTTTTTTTTATATATGGATTTAGAGTTTAGGTGATTTAGAAATGGCAGAAGAATGTTTGAAACTTGCCATTGCTGTTGATAATAGACATGCATTGGCATATAATAATCTCGGAGTAATACAAATGAAAAATGGTAATGTTACAACAGCAAGGACTTATTTTCATGCGGCAGCCACTATTGCAAATTACATACATGAACCACATTTTAATAGTGCACATTTGGCATACAAGGTATTTAAATAATACTTCAATATAAATATACAATACATTGTTCAACAAAATCTTATCACATGATTTAATTATAGTTAGGTGATTTTCAAACGAGCTACATTGCAATACAAAAATCATTAAATGTATATCCAGAACATTGTGATAGTAAAGATCTTCTTAAAAAATTGGAACAATATTTTTGTCATATGTAAGATATAATACTATGGAGAATTATTTTATATTACAAAAAAAATGCATTGTATGTAGTATTAATGTTAAAGAAAAACAATGAAGAAGAAGAAGAAGAAGAAGACTTTTGTGATTATTCATTAATCAAAATATTAAATAAAAACAATTTGCATCATATCAATTTTTACAATAATAGTAAGAAATATTTATTTACAAAATATTAACCACGATCTTCTTGTTTATCAATAATTATTAATCTTTGTACATTTTATTTTCATGGAATAATAATATAATGTGAGGAAAATTAAAACTTAATATATATATATATATATATATATATATATATAATTGTATGTCTTTATAATTTGCTTGCAAGATTATATTAGATAGATTATTATAAATATTTATTTTATTTTTTGTTTCTTTTCTTTATGTATATATGTATATATAAATACTTTAATAGAGATATACAAAACGACGGTTCAGCAACTAATACTTCATAGTACATACATGCTTCGTAATTGATAAAAAAAAGTAAAGAAGACGACAGATAATATCAATCATAAATGATAAAGCATCTATATATGCATATATCATTTTGAATTACAATCACATGTCTAATAATACTAAGACGAATTAGTTACATGTACAGTCTCTTTTATATAAAATATCATTAATAGCTATCATTTGATTTTATGTCGTATGAGATATTACTAACCATGAGATAACGAAATAAAATAAAAAAATAGGATAAACAGCCAAAGGTTTTCTTCCAACTGGCTGACTGTCTCCAAGGAATGCCATTGATGCTAAATTAAAATAATAAATTATAATAATCGATATAAATCTTATTATATTTATTCTATAATATACTAACCATACGTTGCCCATATAAATCCGATCATAGTAATGATAAATCTTAATATGAACAATAAAACATTCTGTTCAACTATTAATATAAATCTGCATAAAATTAATGCAATTGTAGTTGGTAATAAACAATATCCTAATACGCAGACACTTTGAAAAAATGATCTAAAATGTAAAGAATATAATTGATGAAGATTGTAATTGTAAATTGAATGATACAAAGTATTTAACAATACTTACATGTTACCACCTAAAAGTTTTGAGTTCAATGTAACGACAATTGACCCAATCCATACTATAACAAATACCTCTGCGAATTCAGGCCCACCATCGTTGGAATTATCACTTGTATCGGATGATCCTTGTAATACCCTATTTAATAAATAAAATATTCTGTTAAAAAATTGTATAAATAATAAATATAATATGTCAAATGATAAATCTTACATTGCCATAAATGTGCATAACATTAAAGGTCCCCAAAGATCCCCTAAAAATGAATGATATTGTTAAATGTTAAATAATTTGATGACATATTGTTTAAATAAATAAAATATACGTACATTCTTTTAATAAGCTTTTCTTCTCTCTGGGATATAAAACATGCTGGAATTTCTTTCCTACAGCTTTAACATCTCTAAGCTGTATCAAACAATAAGTATAATTGTTATTCGATTAAAAAGATATTAAATTTACAGTAAACAAAAGGATGTATTAATAAATTACAATTGTATCCCTTATCGGTTCATCTAATGTGTTGAATTCAGGTTCACCAAGATTAGATTTTTGTTTTGGTCCTACTGTCATCTCTCCTTCGACATTTTGAGGATCCACTGCATACGTAGCATCATCGTACATCTGTTTAACATTTCATTAAATTATTAGAAATAATTTTTATTTAATATTATAAAAATAATAGAATGAATACATCATGATTATTTTCAAAAAGAATAAAGCATGCAATAACATCTGACAAATAAATGATATCTGTCAAAATAAATGAAATATTAGAACACATCAAACTCACATCAAGTTTAGTATCACCCAAATTCGCCATATTTATAAATGTTTAAATCTATAAATAACAAAATGAATAATTAAATAAAATCAATGTAGAATTATTTCACATAACCATAAGTTAAATTGTAATTATTCTTGTTTACACACTTTAATGTTTTACACTTTAATACGTGTACACATTACACGCACACTATTCTTTATGCGGCAACTTCGTACAACTAACCACTTTGTCATATAAAAAGACGATAATAATTATATTTATTTGACACGTCAAACTATCTATTAATATTAATTAATTGATATGAATTATTTCAAACACGAATTATCACATTTTATAAATGGAATTAAAATAATATAAAATTACCACCAATCGTAAAGCGATAGTAGTGATCAGGATCAAGATGTCTCTAGGTTAGAAAACTCGAATGAATCGATCGAGTTAAGATACAGCGCGCGCTGTTTGGCGGCAAAATTTGAATTTCGATATTTTTACAAATTTATCATTGCATATTTTATTTTTTATTTTAAGACAGTTTTATCTTTCGTTTATCATACTTTAGATTGCATTCATCAAAAATGACGTATATACTTAATTATACACTTATATAATGAATATATAACTTAGAATATCTTTGTTTTATTATCTATGTATAAATCCTAACCATAAACAAGGTAATAAAAATGAATATATATAATATATATATATATATATATTAATTTATAAATAAACATTATTGTGTTAAATAAAGATTGTACACGTGATTTAATCCATAAATATGTAATTCGTGTTTGAATACTAGACAAAGTTAATAGAAGTTGATAATAAATTATTTTGACGTTTTATATTAAAGTCCTTGATGATTTGAAACTAAACAGCTGATTGAGTGATGACAGATGTTTCTAATCTATCAAAAATAGATATAAATATTTAAATCGTGACAGTTATTTTTTTTTTTTTTCTAATAATAATAATGACTTCCTTCTATAGAATAGCCTGTGGCACACGATTATGGCAAATTGACGTATGGTACAATCAGATAGAAATGAAACAAAGAACAATTATATACATATATCCAATTTTCTGTTAAATAACGACGTTATACAGTGATTATCAGATGTAATAAATATCGCTAAGTCATGCGAATAAAAGTTAATCTCAACATCATTGTCAAAAGTTTTTAATATGATTTTTTAAAAGGAATTGCAATTATAATAATAAAAAAACATATAATTTTATAACATAATATAAATTTGAAAGACAAAAACATGGCAATAGTAACAGGATGGAAAAGTTATGTGACTGTACAACTACCAGCAATGATGGTGATATGTGCCATATCTATGTTAGGTAATTAACATAATATAATATTTATGTTTTCTTCTTTGTTTTTTTTTTTTTTTAATATATTATTGTTTGATATCATCACTGTATTTAGGTGCTATTATGACAGAATTGGTATTGTATCGAACATGTACAATCGTATTAAATATTAACGAGACTGAATGTTTATTATTAAAAAATAATGGAAGTAGCAGTGAAGCACTTAAAATAAATGAGTTGGTACAACCAGTAATATATAAATTTAACATATTTAGATCGATGATTGAAAATCTTTTACCCACTATTTTGTCCTTTTTTGTTGGACCATGGAGCGACACTTATGGAAGAAAACCTCTCATAATAACAAGTCTTCTTGGTAATGGAAATAAAATGATTTGAACTTAAATGAAATATCTAATGGTTTTTTTTTCTTTTTGTAAATTGTTATAGGATATACATTAGGATTTTTTCTTCTATCGTTGATGAGCTCGTGGCAATTAAATCCTTGGTATTTCTTGTTTGCCTATATACCTATAGCATGTTTCGGTGGATTATCTTTTTTCTTGTTAGCTTCTTTTAGTTATATTACTGATATTACTTCAAAAGAAAATAGGACGTGGCACTTGACTTGCTTAGATGTATATATTTTATTTGGACTTGTAATTGGTATATTTATTGGTCCTTTCATGTGTAAATATTTTGGATACGCATTTGTATTCGGTATTGCAGCTGTATTATCTTTCTTAGCTAATTTATTTGTAATATTTCTTGTACCTGAAACAATACAACGTACTTCATCGGTAAGTCATTCAACAAATATCATAAATAATATTAAATGAAATATATAATATATTTTTAATCAATTCTTGTATATACATTTTAGATAAATTTAAGTTCTTTGTTTGATAAGAAACATGTCCTCAGTCTTATTAATGCTTGTAGAAGAAGAAATGGATTTGATCGTTTTCTCGTACTGTGTTGTTCACTTTATATACTTTTATACGTAACAGCTGTAGAGGGTGATATGACTATTATATTTTTATTTACCAATGCAAGACTTGGTTGGGATTCAACTCAATATTCATATTATATGATGACCAATGTTATATTAGGTGGAATTGGATCTTTAAGTGGAATCAAAATATTCTCTTCACTGTTAGGTATTTAAAAACAATAAGAACGTTAATTAAAATGAACATATTTTCTGTATTAATTAATCTTATCTAATGAATTATAGGTTGTTCGGATATTGTTATAGTTATTTTTGCTACATGTTCATCTTTAATCGGTGCTATTATTAAATCATTCGCATGGCTACCATGGCACATGTTTTTGTCTATTACAATATCAATGTTTGGTGGTCTTGGTGGACCATTAATTCGTTCTACTGTATCCAAATTAGTTCCATCTACCGATACAGGTAATATTAAATATTATACATTTTATAATTTGTTTTATTTTGAAATAATAATGAATTTGATTAATGAATTATTTCATGATGATGATGATGATGATGATGATATAGGTAAAATATTTTCATTAATCACAAGTATTCAAATGATTACACCAATATTTGCGTGTGGCTTATATTCAACAATTTATACCAAATATTTACCACCGATATATCCTTCTCCTGTATGGTTAATATCGTGTGCTCTTTTTATTTTCTTGATAATATTATCAATTCTTATCCATGTTCGTATTTTAAGAACGAGTGGTCAACAATATATTGAAATATCGCAAGAAAGCGAATAAAGGTATGTTACAATTGATATTTACATATTTAAAGGTGCTATTTAAAAGTGCTATTTATAAAATAATATAATTAATAGATTTATTATATTTTCTTTTTGTATATAGTTTTAATATTGTACACATATGTATAAATAGATATATATATATATATATATATATACATACATAAATGTATATATTTTATAAATTGTTAGATATTATTTTTAAAGATTGAATTTTATTTATGACGTAAGAAATTAATTTAAATTTTATATTGTAACATAAGAATATACTATAATAACATTTATTATAATTGCAATATTTAATATATATGTATTTGTATATATATATTAATGTAACATAATACGAAACAGTTTATATTGTAAATAACAAGTAAAAGATAAAAGTCGCTTTTTTTAAAAAGTTAAATTATTAACTTTTGTATTTTTATATATTAATTTTTCAACATTTGTTCACATAAATTATTAATAATACACGAAACACAATTTATATAAGTACGATGAAACAAAATCTTGTACAACTGTAATCATATATTTTTGTACAAACAAAAATAATATAGAAAACAACTTTTATCTTATTCAGTGTATTAAAAAGCTGTAAAATATTCTTATTAAAAAGATATTATTTTGGAAATGTTTATTTATTCATTTTATTATCTCATAATATATCCAACATTTGTTTATTTCTTTCATGTGATACTTTGATATATATATATATATATATATATATATGTATGCGTATCCAATGATTATTTATTTTTTTTAAATTTTTTCATCAAAATAATCAATATGGTCACCAGATTTATATTGATGATCTTTCAATACTTCTATAAGACGATTAACCGTTTGTTCAGTTGTTAAAATTGTATTACTAATCAAATTTGATTTAAATTCTTTGTTAGCAAGATTTTGAGTAAAATTATCTAACATATCAGTTTGAACGGGACCAGGTGAGTAATTTAAAACGTCCACTTCAGGATATTCTAATGCAAACACCTATAGAAAGTAAATTACAAGGTTAACAACATGATAAACAATCTTTATATAACATAATTATATAAATATACCTTGAAAAACATTTCTTTAGCTGCTTTTACAGTACAATAATATCCAGCTGATGCAAATGGTAATTGAGCGAGTAAAGAAGTAATATTAATAATTAATTTTTTAGTATCACTATTTTTATCAAATATCTCCATCATTAATCCATTTAATATAATAGGTATGAACATATTAAGATCAAAATATTTTCTCCATACATTTATATCCATCATTTCATTGGTAAATTTAGAAACATCACCAGACGTTCCAACATTGTGCACAATAATAACTCTATCGAATTCTTTAGGATCAGTTCCTTTCAACGATGACATTACAACTTCTAAAAGTACAAAGAAGAAATGAAATAAAATAATCATTTTGACATTTTTTTTTATAAATATTGTTGTACTAATATATTGTTACTTTTTAGATCATCTTTTGTAGCAGTTCCCAAATCGACACTAGCATAATCAACATTTAAATTTGAAGGTAATTGTGCAGCTGTATCCTTTAAAGCATTTAAATTGCTTGCTAATAAAAGTACGTATGATCCTTCTTGAAGTAATGAACCAAACGATATTGCAATTTGTTTACCAATACCTCGACTAGCACCAGTAATTAAAAAATAAGCTTTTCCCGATAATGCTGGAATAGACATTTTTGTTTAATATCAGAATATTTATATATATATATATTTATTTATTATTATCAATGGATTCCTGTTCTTCTACGGTTTCTGTGACTACTTGAAGTACATCAGCTTTTAAAAGATGAACCAATTCGCTTGGTGTCAATGCCTAAAATAATGAAACATTTAATAATTTCAATGCTAAGTTGATTTACGTATTACATTTCTTTTTTTTTTTATATGTAAAAGATTATTAACATATGTGTTCATTCAATTAGACTTATAAAACATAAATATTATATGCAAAATAAAACAATGTAAAATATATTAGTGTATTAATTTAGTTTTAACAAAAATTGAATTCATATTTTTTTGATAACTCACTGAAGTTTACTGAAATTGACGTACCTGTAAATGAGGAACTATATGACGTATTAAAGGATTGGCAACTAATTCTGCTTCTTCAGATTCAAAATTACGTTCAGAGTTTATCAAACGTGCGATACACTCTTCTTTAGCTACTGATAATGAACTGACAAGATCTTTTTTGGTTGTGTTGTTTTGAAGCGCCTTTAACCTTGAATCTTTAGAGAAAGTACATTGTGTGTTATATAAATGTAAGACAAAACTTACTCGATGATAATATAATTTATAAATGATTAATGGTAATTAATTACAGACCACACCCATTCATTACATTATATATATATATATATATATATATATATATATATGACAGAACCATATGGAGGTTATTTTTTAACACAGTAATAATGATTAATTAATTAATAAATAATTTACTTACAAAGTTTTTGCAAATATTGTTCGGAATCAGATAACTTTTCATGCTCATATAAAGATTTATCTAAAAATGAATCTTCAAAACAATTATCACCACCGGTATCCTCTATGATTTGTGCATCTGCTTTGTACCACGGATCATTAACGTCTGTCTTCATATTTGTTAAAAATGGTTCTCGTTTATGGTCTTGTTATCCTTGAAAATATCACACAATTTTACGGTAATATTGTTCCTTTCTTAACCTATTTAAATACTAATATCTATTGCTACACAATTTCAAGATGGCTACCTTATTCTCAAACGCTACTACCAATCATATGAATGACTGTATTTTTTTTTACATTTTTCTTTACGTAATTATCTCGATTGATGTTTTTCTTTTTCTTTTCGTTTATTATTCATTACCATGAATTTAATTTATTCAATGCAATAAATAAATATAAATAATAATACAACAACAACAATATTGATTGATTGATAAACGTAGTGATATTTTGTTTTGATAGGAAATTCATGTTAAAAAAAATATATTAATGAAATAATATGTACAAAAATATTATTCACTTTATTATACAGATGATGATAAGCGCTTAATAATATTAATTATAATAATATTTATATTTATATTTATTTATATATATATATATATATATATGTAGCCTTTTCAGTCTAATATTTTCTTTGTTACGCTTGCACTATCTTTCTTGTTAAATATGATACACATATTATATATAAAAACACGTGCAATAATAATGACAATTATATAATAATGATATTATTTACAATGATTATTAATTTGTAATAAATGATAGGAATACTATCAAAATTGTACATCAACGTATTTGTAATAATAAATATATCAAATACGTATGTTTAATAATTAACATATTGAAAAATTGTATAACTATGTCAAAGTTTTGTCAAACTTCTTTCTAACTTGTAAAAATCTTTCAAAAGTATACAAATCCGATTTTACTATCGTATTATAACATTTACATATATGAAAATATACACACACAAAAAATGTATATCCGAAATATAAAACGTTTATCAAACAATTTTCTAATTTTTTTCTTTTCTTTTCTTTCTTTTTTTTCACTAAGTTTTTCTTCATAATAAATTTTTCAAATAAGTGATCAAAAAATCTTTCTTGGTAACCACCTCCTAATTAATAACTTAATATTAAACGTAGTTGACAATTGTTCAAATATATATATATATATATTATGCAATTATTGTATTCATAGTTTATGTTTTTGATTAGTATTAATGTGATGTGTGATGTTTAAAAACAATTTAGCTATCATAAATGAAACATTTCTTGTTATCATTTCTATTTTGATTTTCTTTGCAAAATATTAATGCAAACATATAAATATAAGAAAATAAACAATTATTGTTAATGAACATCAATTACACACACATATGTATATATATATATATATATCTATTATCATTTTCTGTAACTATATGTGTATAATTCTCTCTTCTTCTTTTATAGTAATACAAAATACAATAAAGAACGTTTAGTATTACATGCATACGATTTTAATAGTTTAGAATACTAATTCTTTTTTAGATATCATATTAGCAAAGAATAATAGGACCCATTATTATTAGCACGAATACTAAATCTGTTGATTTATTGCATAGTCGTTAAACTTCATCGAGTATTATTCTAAATACTGATGATAACTTCGATAAAGAAATAAGTCACTCTTTTTTTTTTTTTTTAATTAAGACTTCTGTAAAAAGCATTTCGTCTTAAAGTCGTCTTCGTTACACCGTGTATTATTATATTTTGAATATTATTTAAAAGCCATTAATTATATTATAGTCTTTCAGCAATATCGCAAATACGACCAATATTTTGTACGTATTGGATACATATTTATTATTATTATTATTATTATTTATTAGGTCTGTAGATATTTTTGATCTACAATCACAGACAGAATGTGAGCCTAATGCTGCATGCACATAACAAAATCATTTTAAAAAGAAACAAAACAATAATTTATAGTCTTTGTATATTAAATTCGATTGATATTTTATGTTGTTAATCATTTGAGTCGAAAAATGTGGTGAATCTTTTCAACATGAAATCTGATGAGCATGATCATTTTTACTTACGACTCAAATGGTTATATATATATATGTATATATATGTATATAAAAAGAAAGTTTATAAAATTGTCTAAAAAAAAAATTAATTGCTATGCGCAAGTAAGGTACTCTTAGGCACTGTTACAAGAATTTGCCAAAAATGTATTTTTTTTTTCTAGCCTTTCATGTATCTAAAATATGATGACTTAACGCAAGCGTAACTATTATTATACTGTAAAAATTCGTAATACTATAATTAATATCGTACAATAGTTTTCTTTTCGTTATTCATACTCGTTTCTAACTAAATATTATAATTAACAACGTTACATTGTTTTTTTTTTTTTTAATTTATATAACACGAACGATGCATGTGCTATAGTCGAATCGAATATACAAAATATATATCGATCATACTTTTGATCCTAGTTATTAGTCCGTTGTTAAGTGCATTTTTTTTTCTTTATTATTATATTTTTTTTTTTAGCAAAATTGTAATTCCCAGAATTACGACAATTCATAAAGTTTCGAATATCATTAATAGGATGTTTTTTTTCTTTTTTTTATACTATTTTCTAATCGATAATGATCATCATGGTTGACTCTTGTATATGATTCAATATAAATACGATTAATGCAAATAATTTATCTATTAATATATATATATATAGTATACGTAATAAAAACAAACAAACAAAAATAAGAAACTACAATTTCACTATACACAGATAAATATTTGTCTAATAATATTTTTTTTGTTTTGTTTAAAAATGTGATGCGTTATTTTGATTTTCATTGTGATGATGATGCATTTATA